TAACTGACATGTGACATTGATTAATTTCAGGTGTACAACATAATGATTTAATATTTGTATTCATGGTGAAATGATCACCACAGTAACTCTAGTTAACACCCATCACCACACATAGAATTTTCTTTTCCTTGTGATAAGAATTTAACATCTATTCTTGTAACAACTTTCAAGTATGCAATATGGTATTATTTACTACAGTTACCATGCTGCACATTAGATCCTCAGGACTTCATTATTTCATAACTGGAAGTTTGTACCTTTTGACCTCCTTCACCCATTTTGCCCGCCTTCCACCCACCCCCTCCACCTCTGGCAACCACTAATTCGTTCTCTGCAATGCATATTATTTTATATCCTCTTTCACTTGCTATTATATCATGGCCATTTAAAATGTCATTAAATTTTTCTCTAAAACATGATTTTTTTCCTTTTTCAGTTTTATTAGGTGGAATTATTACAGTTTGACTGCACATATACATTATATTGCATGTAGATACATATCTGTCATATACTGCAGATTTTTTAGTTTACGTATATGTACTGATCATTGTTTCTAAGAACAGTTTAGAGCTTTAGCTTTTTAAACTTACATAGTTATCAAAGGAATAAAGCCAACTATAAAATAAGAATCAACAGAATGCAGTAATCTAATCACATATTCAAGAAACCAATCATCTAAGTTATAAATAGTAAGTAGTTCATTTGTGTCCTTACTATTATTTTATTTAGATTCCTCATATAAATGATGTCATATGGCATTTTTCTTTCTTTTTCTGGCCCACTTCACTTAGAATGACGACCTTCAGGTCCATCCATATTGCTGCAAATGGCATTATTTTATTCTTTTTCATGGCTGAGTAGTGTTCCATTGTATATATGTACCACCTCTTCTTTATCCAATTATCTGTTGATGGACGTTTGGGTTATTTCCACGTCTTGGCTATTGTAAATAGTGCTGCTATGAACATTGGGGTGCATGTGTCTTTTTGAATTTTATTTTTCTCTGGATATATGCCCAGGAGTGGGATTGCTGGATTACATGGTAAGTCTATTTTCAGTTTTTTAAGGAACCTCCTTACTGTCCTCCATAGTGGCTGCACCAATCTATACTCCCACCAACAGTGTAGGAGGGTTCCCTTTTCTCCACACCCTCTCTAGCATCTATCATTTGTAGGCTTTTCAGTGATGGCCATTCTGGCTAGTGTGAGGTGATATCTTATTGTAGTTTTGATTTGCATTTCTCTGACAATTAGCAATGCTGAGCATTTTTTCATGTGCTTATTGGCCGTTTGTATGTCTTCATTGGAGAATTGTTTGTTTAGGTCTTCTGCCCATTTTTGGATTGGGTTGCTTGTTTCTTTGATATTAAGGTGTATGAACTGTTTGTATATTTTGGAAATTAGTCCCTTGTCAGTCGCATCATTTGCAAATATTTTCTCCCATTCTGTAGTTTGTCTTTTCTGAAACATGATTTTTAATGGCCACATTAGTCTCCTTTGAATTTTGTTACACTTCTCTCTATTGATCTCTCTCTTATCTCTCCGACTACTCCATGCTTTCCTTGTCTTCTGCCCCTTAAATGTTGATGCTCCTCAGAGTTCCATGCGCTCTGTTCCTGCCATTTTTTAAAAGATTTTTTGTGGGGATGAAGGAGGTAACTAAGTCTACTTATTTATTTATTTTTAAAGAGGAGTTACTGGGGATTGAACCCAGGGCTCATGCATGCTAAACATGTGCCTTACTACTTGAGCTATACCCTCCCGCCAATTTCTGTCGCTTTTCAGACTCTCCCTATGCAGTCTCATCTAACCCATGGCTTCAACTACTGATAGATCCAAATCTGTGTCTTCAGTCCAGACCTCACTTCTCATCTCCATATATATATATAGTGTCCATCTCATTTCTTCTGCTCCCACACCTGCTGCCCCTCCAATGTTCCCTTATCCCATTGAATGGTCTCATATCCACACAATTGCCCATGCCAGGGATCTGAGGAGTTAGCACTAGCTTCCTACCCTTGCTCACTGTCTTTAGGATAAAATCTACCTATAGTATCTTTTTCCAATTTCTTTT